TCAATAGCTCGATAATCTAAAGCCCAAAATGCATCTAGTAGGGCTTTCATGGTCGAAATCGAATCAAATTTCTAATTTCAGATAGAATAATGTCTCCGATAAATTAATATAGATATAATATTTTTTTTGAGCAAGTCAATAGAGAATTTTTAACCATTTACTTTAAAGATTGTTGATAATATAAACCTAATATTTATCTTCGAATAAACTGAAACTTGATGACATCAATTTCAAAATCTACAATTTTCTGACTGAAAGTCTAGACTATAGATAAGAACCCCTAATCAATGTACAATAAATACAATGATATCCATCGTACAAGGTCCCATTGGTATACTTACATTCAACAATGACAAACAAAAAACAAATGACAAAAACAGCATTCTACAAGTATAGATAGCCATTCCAACTTCACATCCACTGATGCAAGTTTTTCCAAGTCCACGAAAAAAGGTAATAAAGTTAAACACTTTAAAACTCAAGTAAAGAAGAAGCAAACTTTAAAACGAAACCAAAACTGTGAAGGATATGCAAAGGAACTGACCAATAAAAGTGATTGAAAAGGCAAAATAGAAACGCCACCGTGGGGCTCGAACCCACGACCACAAGGTTAAGAGCCTTGCGCTCTACCACTGAGCTAGACGGGCTTTGATGACAACAATCGTTGTAACGTTTTTGTAATCATATTCTATTTGATCATTAGATTTTAGTTAATTTTCATATTTAACACATTGATACTTCATGTTTCAATGAAGAACATAGGTTTCCTGGTGCCCTCAAAGAAACTATGAAAGAGTTAATAATCGTCTTTATAAGGCCTTAATGCCTCTGTTCGTGCTTTAGTAGAATTGTATTAAAATGAATTATTTCACTTTGTTTATTTCAACTTATTAACTGCTTTATTTTCATCGTGAAATTGATTTGTCTCATTACAAAATGAATTGAGTATTGTGAGAAATATTCTAAAACATTTCATTTATATTTACATACAATTAAAAGAAAAATGATTATTAATATAATTAAAATTACTTTTTAATATATAATATATATTAACCGATTAATCTAATCTTATTCGAATTTGATTGAAAATGAATATTAGGCATATTATCGCTTTGTTAATATAAATTATTGGTTCGACAATTACAAATTTATTTCTTAGTTTATAGAAAAGAAAAATCATAGATAGACTAAAGTTAGTTATAACTGTAACATCAATTATTTAAATAGATAATTAAAAAAAAAAAATATAATTAACATTTGCAAATAACTTTTACAAACTAAATTGATATACTTTCGAAATTATTTATAACTATAACATCAATTATTTAAAATTTGCAATTGCCATAGCCTGCGTTGAAAACCGAAATAAACAATAATGTCTTTGATTTTTATTTGGAATTTAATATTCATGTTCTTGTTTTAGGAATTTAGTTCTCTACTTTTTAAAATTTTAAAAAAGTCAAATCCAATATTAACAACGTCAAAATCTTTTTATTAAATTCAGTCCATTACAACATCAATTTTTGGTTATATAGATGCTAAGTTAATATTTTTTTATTTCTAAATTCGCATTAGGGAATCTAGTAGAAGAATTTTATCTATGTTAAATTTAAAAGAAGAGGGAAATATATAGAAATTAAACAAGAATACTAAATTTGAAATGTATAATGAGTATAGAAACTTGAAGCATATTTTAACCTTTTTTAATGGGATTGGTTAATACTAAATTATTAATAGTCGGATGAACAATTTTAAATTTTTTACCAACAATAGTGTGATTTATTGAAAAAAATGGATTGTTAAATTTCATTTCTGAACTCTAAAAGATGATTTTTTTTTAAAAAAAAATTCAAATTATGGTTTTGATTCTCCAAATTATATAAAATTGGAGAATAAATTATGGCAAATTAAAGTTTAGAGACCGAATATAAATGTTAAACCAGTATAGGGATTAAAAGCAAAATTTGAGCAAAACAATTTCAGCTTACTTGGGTCTCTGAGGGTGAGTTTAGCTGTGCCAGTAAAATCACAAGCGTTGGAATCGCTTCCTTTAGAACGGTAGTAAGAATGCATGGCGAATGCTGCACGAGTGAAAAGCGGATCGGAGGGTGGGTTACTGCAAATGCCACCCGGCCGAATCGAACCACAATCAATGCCTTGGCCGCATGCCTAATCTAAGGCTTTCTGCATAGCTTTCTGCATAGCAGAGCATCGGAAGCTTGATTAATTGGCACACAAAGCATATCTGCGTTATCGACAGGTTCGGCGCTAACGATATTAGAGGAGATGAGGTGGAAGACGACAGTGGTGAGGAGAAGAAACGAAGCGTTGCTCAATGACTTCATGATAATAGATTATTATGATGGCAAATTGTATTTGATGTTTGATTTTGTCTTGGGTTATAGCGAAATATATAGAGGTGAATAAATCATGAACGATAGTTATGATCAATGTTTTGACACACGGGCTACTCTTAGAATTAGTTGATTCGGTATTAACTCAACGTTATATTTGAATATCATTTTTCGTAGATCTAAATTAAATACAAATTAGATCTGATCTAACACAAATCAAACATAAACCAAATATAATTTATGATTGTGCTCCTATTTTTGTCATTAAATAAAAAATTATCGATTAATTCACTAATATTATACAAATTTATCATTTTAATCGTCCACATCAGACCGGAATTGATGATTTGTCTTATATTTAATTGATATAATGACAATTTTAGCCCTTCATATTTTAAAATTCAATCAATTTAATTTTAATTTAAAATAATTCAACAAATGTAGTCCTTCACATCTATAAATTCTACCAATATAATCCTCAAACACATTATCCTTCCATCGTTTCACCTCAAACAGCCGTAGGATGTTATCTGTGGTCGATCTAGTTCCCATATGACTCCTCAAACTAATGATGTTCTGATGTACTTAAAATTTTTCGACATATTAATATGAACACTTTAAATCGAGATGCACTAACAGTGGAAACAACAACGCAATCGCATTCGTATTCGTAACAGACACCACAACTATTAGTTGCAGTTTCCTGTGCTTGGAAAACAGCATTCTACAAATATAGGTAGTCATTCCAATTTCACATCCACTTGATGAAAACAAAATTTAGTCCAGGAATGTAGTACTAAAGTTAAACACTATAAAACTCAAGTAAAGAAGACCCAAACTTTAAAACAAAACCAAAACTGTGAAGGATGTGCAAAGGAACTGACCAATAAATGTGAATGAAAATGGCAAAAAGGGAAACGCCCACCGTGGGGCTCGAACCCACGACCACAAGGTTAAGAGCCTTGCGCTCTACCGACTGAGCTAGACGGGATTTGATGGAAACAATCGTTGTAACGTTTACTAATATAATTTATCAAACAAATGATGATTAGGATGTATTTAAAATCTGTCTTCATAATTTTTCGACATATTTATATGAACACTTTAAACCGAGATGCACTAAGAGTGGAAACAACAACAACGCAATCGCATTCGTAACAGACACCACAACTATTAGTTGCAGTTTCCTGTGCTTGGAAAACAGCATTCTACAATATATAGGTAGTCATTCCAACTTCACATCCACTTGATGCAAAACAAAATTTAGTCCAGGAATGAAGTACTAAAGTTAAACACTATAAAACTCAAGTACAGAAGACCCAATCTTTAAAACAAAACCAAAACTGTGAAGGATATGCAAAGGAACTGACCAATAAATGTGAATGAAAATGGCAAAGAGAGAAACGCCCACCGTGGGGCTCGAACCCACGACCACAAGGTTAAGAGCCTTGCGCTCTACCGACTGAGCTAGACGGGCTTTAATGGAAACAATCGTTGTAACATTTTTGTAATCATATTCTAATTTGATCATTAGATTTTAGTTTAATTTTTATATTTAATCCTGGTGAGAAAATCTTATGTTGATACTTCAAGTTTAAAATGAAGAACATAGGTTTTCTGGTGCCCTCCAGGAAAACATGAAGTGATTTGATGATCCTCTTTTAAGCCCCTTAATGTATGCTCCGTTTGTGCTTTAGTAGGGTAGCATTTGATGGAGTGCTTAAATATTAAGTGCTGAAAATTATTTATTATTTAAATAAGATACATTATCAACGTCATTAGTAATTTAACGTCAGATGATTAATAATTTCGTACGGACGTTAGTATTTTAGTAAAAAAAAACTTATTTTTCATGATCAAATAAAAAACACAATCATAGTTGAGTGATCAGTAGGATAGTTCATCCTAAATTTTGATAAAATCACTCTAGAACATTTACACTCTCTATAAAATTATAAATATAAAATATACTTAATAAATAATTTAATCTTCAATATTTACATATTTTATTAATTTTACAATTTTCGTGACTAAATTAATTTTAAGAAAAGAATGAACAAAAAATGATGAAAAAAATATTTTGTGTAACGATTTCATAGTAGTTGAAAAGAGTTGTGATGATGTAAAAATGTATGTTGAAAAGATGTAATTGATTCTATTATTGATTTTGATTGTTATTCTAGCATTGGTGAAAAATTAGATAATCATGACAAATCACCCTATGTAAACAAGAAGAAAGTGATAGTAACAACGAAAATTTGAAAAGAGATCAGTATTGTTTTTGAAAAATGACTTTTGAAAGGAACGTAGAAACGAACTTTTAAAAGTGTTTTTTTAAAAATATAATTTAAAATAACTTCGATGAGAAAAAAGATGTGTAAGAGAGGGGAAAAAGACGAGAACAAGAACAAAAGAGAATTACAACATTATAAAAAATCATAAACTAAATTTCTCTTTGTTATTATAAATTATAGGTTCGAGCACAATTACAACATTTATTTCTCGGCTCATAGAAAAAAATCATAAACTATAGTAGAGTTCTAACTGTAACATCGATTATTTTGAAAGATGTTTTTTTAATAAAATTAAAAATTAATATGTGGAAGTGACTTATATGAACTAAATCACTCCACTTTTGGAATTGTTCATAGCAAAGCATACTCTTGAGCCATAGGTCATAACTGATCTTCCCTGATCCAATTCTTCAAACATATTTGCAATTTCCATAGCCTGCATAGATAATTGCAAATTAAAGTTTAGAGACTGAATAACAAATTTAAAAATAGTATAGTGACTAAAATAAAAATTTGACCAAACAAATTCAGCTTACTTGGATCCTCGGTGATGAGAGTTGCAGTGCCACTGAAATCACAAGCGCCAGGAAGGCCTCCTTTAGACCGGTAGTAAGAATTCATGGCGAATGATGCACGAGACCTGATGGTGGGTGGGTTACCGCAAATGGCACCCGGCTGAATCGGACTGCAATCAATGCCTTGGCTGCATGCCCAATCCAAGGCTTTCAGTAAATCAGCATCGGAAGCTTGATTGGTCGGCACACAAAACATCTTTTTATTAGGGTCAGAGTCGCTGCCATTGGCTTCAGTGACCTGAGCCAAGGAAATGAGGTGGAAGACGATGGTGGCGAGGCGAAGAAAAGAAACGCTGCTCAATGACTTCATGATACTAATTATTATGATTGTAAATTGTATTTGATGTTTGATTTTGTTTTGGGCTTATGCGTGGTATATATAGAGATGAATAAATCATGTATCGTAATTTATGATTAACTTTTTGACATATGGACTACTCTCAGAATTAGTAGGATTCAATGTGTGGTAGCCCAGAATTAGTAGGATGCAATGTGTGGACCATAGAAAGAGTCAGAATGACCTTTGTAATTTCTACTAAGAAAGAGAGATTGTGATATATGTTAAAAAACATTATCAATTATATACAGATTTTGGTTTATTGTATAGCATCGAAGATAAACTACGGTTCATTACATTTATAAAATTTGGGTAAAGTACACAAATGGTTCCCCGACTATAGTATATTGTTCTGTTGAGTATCTAACTATTAAAAGTTACAAATTGTCCTTCATTATAGAATGCTTTTGTTGAGTCTCTCAACTATTAAAAGTTACAAAATGATCATCAAACTATTTATTATGCTTCAAACTCGTCCAATTATTCATTAGTTGACAACGATCAACTCATATTATTAACGTTGATTTTCACATATGTTAATTGTTGACATGTTACATTCATGCCACTAAAATGATGACTTGATATGGCGACATCATCAAGTGATGACATGACATATCACATCACTAAGATCATGATGTCACATTTGTCATGTCACTAAATTGATGACATATTGTGTCTACATTATTCAAAGTGATGCCATGTCATGTAACACACACCCAAAGTGATGATGTGTCATGTGCCACGTCACTCATTAAGCACACGTGGAAATACCGTGTCAACAACATGACTGGATGCTAGTCACTAACAATTAATTTCTATCCAAAAGGGCTATTTTGATAATAAAAATTAAATGTTGAGGCTAAATACTACAAAAAAAAAGAATATATGTCAAAATGACAATTTAGACAAATATTGGGACTAATTTATTTTATTGCCCTTTATATTAGGATTTTGAAGAATATATAAGTTTGAATTAGTGAGTGTAGTCTTAATCAAATCTATAAGTGGTTATGTTATTTGATTTCAATATGTATATGCAAAATTTTAAGTAACTTGATGAATTATGTGTTTCAACTCAATTCGAGCATTTGATTATTATCTGATTTGCTAAGGTATATTCTTGCATGTTTCCGAAGTTTGAGACACAAACTTTCTATTGAATGATATGTGAATCTAAGAATCTTCTATAGGTATTATGAAATTTAAGTATATGGTCATAACTGTCAAAAACTTTGATAAGATAATTGATAATTAATGGTGCAAATAGCACATTTCAATAATTGACACTTTTCAATAATTGACACTATGTTATATGAGTCTTTGGTTGTTAGTTTGTATGATATTAGGGATTGATCGAGGGAATACGAGGAGGCAATCGCCTTTGAAATTTTTAAATTCCTTTATATTTTAAAATTTTAAATTCCTTTATATTTTAAATTTTTATGATTTTTATTTTTTTTAGACAAAAGTTACTTATCAATAATGAGTAACGAGTAGACCAATTCAAATTGTATGTAAATTTTTCGTTAAAACTCCTTAATTTTAAATAGAATAAAAGAGTACATACAATTCAGACAACCCAAAACTTACAACAAAATACAAACCTACTATCCAAATTCCAATCAGAATAAACCGGGACCAAGCTTCAACACTAGCAGCAGCAGCCACAACAAATCCCACAGATCAAACAGACAACAATACACCTCTATACCATCAAACACACCTCAAACAACATCAGAAAAGAAACGACAAAATAAACCTGCTACTCTCCAAAAAAAGCAAGGATAAAACCAGAAACTCTAACCCCACCAAAACAGACGGCTACACCACGGCAACAATACATTACAGCCAGTGGCGAATCCAAAAATTTAAAAATAGAGGTCCAAAATTTTAATTTTCTTTTCTTAAAATTAATAGGTATGCAAAAATTGTAATTTTTTTCTTTTTTCCTTAGTACATTAAGCTAAATTTAACTATTTTTTCAAAATAATGGGATGCATTTAGCCCCTATGAGGCTTAGTGCATCCGCCACTTATTACAGCAGAGTAAAACACGAAACAATACATACCAGCAAAAAAACATGACTTCGTGATACTAATTATTATGATTGTAAATTGTATTTGATGTTTGAATTTGTTTTGGGTTTATGCGTGGTATATATAGAGATGAATAAATCATGTATCGTAATTTATGATTAACGTTTTGACGTATGGGCTACTCTCAGAATTAGTAGGATGCAATGTGTGGTAGCCCAGAATTAGTAGGGCAACAATTACGGTGTGTTCACAATTTGGGGGTTTCTTGCGATGGAAGTTCTGCATTTCTGGTTGGGAGTTTTCTATGATGGAAGTTGAACAAAAAAGAACGGGAATTATACTCAAGTTGTGATTTGCGAAGGAAGATGAAATCGACGACGTGAAGTAGACGCACGTCCTCAAAAACATTAATAAATTATTTCAAATTATTATTAAATTATCCAATTAAAATAGTAAAAATTATTGAATTATAATCAATTTGATAGAATGTGTAAGTTTTGAGGACTAAAATTTTTATTATTATATCATGTCACATCATCATTTCTATTAAGTCAACAACCAAAATTAATGGCATATGACCAATACATAAACAAAATGTAACGTTAAGTATATTTTTTATAAAAAAAATTGAGTGGTCAAAACAGAAATGCGAGAATAAGTGAGGTGATCAAATAGATAGTTTACACTAATATATGTATATATGTATTTGTAAGATGCTAGTTTTAATAAAAAGATAGAAATATTCATAATTGCAATAAAGATTTACAACTACAAACTAAACATATAATTAGGACATTTCATATAATAAAGAAAACAAGAAACTAGTAATTTAATATCACACAAGAACCATATAAAAAAAGGTTAAAAAACATAACCAAAAAGTAGATATGAATAAATATGACTGCAACGACAACTAAACCACAAAAGGTGATCAAGATACTAAAAGACCACTAATAAATCGTAAATTAGAGTCGATCCGCACATCAAAACTATCCACGGACACAAATCGTGTATCCAAATTCAATCAGATGGTTCAAAGTATGGAAGATCAACATGATAACAAATAAGTGTGATCTTGATCAGTCCTGAGTCGTGACGATATCAAATCCAACTATGAGAAAAAAAATAAACGAAAACTATGGTCAAACGACTAAATACATAAAAGAAAAAACAAAGATGTTATATAAGAGAATAAAATAGAAACAAAAAATACCGACGACTACGATCAACACCAAAGTTAGTATTGCCGTCTATTAACCAAAGATGAAGAAAGAGATAAGCTGTGTTTAGGATTTTTTAATGTTTATATATAATTAATTATTAATAATGAATATACAATATAATTTTGACTTCTCATATTACTCTAATTGCATAGTTACTTACTTACACGTTATTATAATATTTTTTGAGATAAATAATTACATTAGGTAATATAGCATATATATGTTATTATATTTGAATCGTAAATGATATTCAAATAAAATTCTTTCAACAATGACAATTTTAAAATTCAAAAATGCACGAATTGTTTAAATAATATTAAAATATTTTTTACTCTACAATTCAACCATGAAAACATAAATTAAAATTTTATTTCAAAAGACGTTGCCATTTCATCAAAGAATACACAGCATTACATTACATGGTCTGTATCTTTTTATTTCGTAATAAACAGTTTTTAAAAATGATTTTTTTACATTTTTATTTATTTACAGAAAATAATTCAATCAATAAAAAAAATATAATTTGGGTCACTAAAACAAATGACATTTGAATGTTACATATTATTCTTTTAAAATATGTACATTTTTCAAAAAAAATAAAATAAAATATTTTCTTTTGTAAAACAATCAAATATTCAAAACATAATTTTTTTAGTACATTAAAAAATCACTTTTTAAAATAGTTTTTTACGAAATAAATTGATCCTTTTGTACAGCTAAAGTTTTTTGAGCTCAGCAAAACCTTTGCTTAACAGGTACCGTTATCTCATTCAATTCTTCAAGGATAACGGCAGTTGCCATAACCTACACGAAGAATAAATCCACAATAAAATTTTATAATTGAATAATATAATTGAATATTGAATTTAAATTCGTTATCGTTAAGAGTATAACGGTTTCGGATTATATATATAAATATTTTTGCTTACTTGGATTGACTGTCGTGATTTGGCCGGTGCCGGAAAAATCACAGGCAGTATCAACACCTCTAATCCTAAAGAAAGAGTTCATGGCATATGTAGCACGAGAGGCGACAGTGGCCGGATTGGAACAAATCGCACCGGGTTGAATCGGACCGCAATCGGCTCCTTGGCTGCAGGCAAAATCCAAGTTTTTCTGCAATTGGTCATCGGGAACTCCAGGTTTCGGCACACGAACTTCTTATCATTGGCCGCAGCTGGTACTGGTTGAGGCATGGCAGGCTGCATCAAATGAGGAAATTGAGAACAATTACTGGAATCTTTCAGTTCATAAAGGGAGAATTCTGATTTTGCTCCCTCAACTTTTATATTGTCATTAGATTGTTCAAATGATTAACATCATTCACTATTCCGGTTAAATCACAATTTTCCTTATTTTCATTGTTTTGATGTATAAATTTATAATCATACCTGAGGATTGTTAACTCGAGGGACCCTACGACGGCGTTCGACCGTGAAGTTAGGATTGTTAAGACTAGGGGCAGGACCATCGCGCAATGCTCCAGAAACATAAACGGGTGTGTAATCTGGTTGAAACAATCCCCAGTTCTTCTCAGCAAGAGGACCTGGTTTCTGATTCTCATTAAACAATGCAAAAATGTAAGCATCGAACGTCCTGTTCGGCATCAACGGCGTCCCGATGCCGGAAACGATTTTCCTGATCAAATGCCCATTGTAAGAAGCCGCATTATCAACGGTAGCAGCGAAGTTCCCAGGATCGCCCAACGAAGGCCAACCGGTCTCGCCAATGACGATGTCGACATCCTTGAAACCGGCGGCCAACATGGCCGAAAACGTCTTGTCCAAAAGCGAATCGAAGGCATTGCTGTATGTTTTTTTACTGAAAGGGTCGAAGACGCCAGGGGTTTTCCTGAAAACGGCGTAGTCCACGTTGTTTTCCATCACGTTTAATTCGAAGTATGGGTAAGGGTTGATCATGAGTGGTGATTTGGTTTCTCGAAGGTATAGGAGCAATGGTTCAAAGAATGACTTTGCATAGTCGACCCTGAACCGGGCCAAACTTGGAACGGTTACACCTTGGAACATGTTTAGGGCATGTGCTGTTGTAACCTGATCAATTAAACAGTGCAAATCAAAACCATAGTTATAAGAAGAACACGATTTTTTGTATAATCACTGATATCTATTTTATTAATCGATTAATCTGAATCGAGTATTGTAGATGTCCAATATGGGGTGATCCTATCAAACCAATTTGTTCCATTCACAAACGAGAAATTCGTACCATTAACCTTGTTTAAGGGATATCTAATGTCTCATCCCACTAGACCAACAAGTTATTGGTATAATAATACAAGATGAATCATGATGGGTTTTGTACATTTATATATATATATATATTTATATATAGATATAGATGTGTGTATATTATTTTTATAACACCAAGAATATCCTTAATTTGTTAGTTGAATCTTAACTGATTAGTACGATTGTTCTTATGGTCACAGAAAAGTCAAAATTTTGATTGGGTAAAATATATTGGAGGTTACTGAGCAATATTACTATTTAGTCATTGAACTATATTCAGATGATCAATTTTGTCATTAAACTTCCAAAAACTACAAAATGGTCATTAAAATTTTTGAATTGTACAAAATGATCATTGAGGTTTATCAAATTGCTACAAAATTATCATTGAAGTTTTATCAAATTGTTACAAAATGATCATTAAATTTATCAAATTTTTTCACTTATTATAATATTGCAATGACCATTTTGTAACAATTCAATAAATTTAATGACCATCTTATGACTTTTGCAAGTGTAGTGACCAATATGATCATTTGAGCATAATTTAGTGACTTCTAGTGTACTTTATCCAAAACTATTTAGGGATCCATAATAAAATTATGAACTTTTGAAAAGTCAAATATAAATTTACCTTATAATTTTTAATAAGACCAAATCGGAATTATATCATTTTTAGGGAGCCAAAATAAAGTTTTACCATATGGCTAACTTCAAATGTTAAAGTTGAAATTTCACCATTTAGACCCCTCCAATTGTAGCAATCTAGAACCTACAAGTTTAAACGTGTTTAAACCCACAAAATCCTTCGATCTAATACCTATATCAGCGATTATTTTTATCAAAAATTCTATAAATCAATTAACTTTCTAAGTTTCTTGCAATTAATCACTCAGAATTATTTATGTATTTTCTTAACAAAATAACGTGAAGATTGTAGGGATGGAGAGGAGGACCGTTAAGAACAATTATCTCTCTTGAAAAATTTAAATTATTATATTTTAGATTTTTCTTTATATTTTTATTGATAATTTATTTTCAGTCCCTTTAATTTTATAAATTTACTCTTCCTAAAATTTTAAAAATTCACTTCTGATATAAAATTTTGTGAATGTCTCTGAAAACATGCATCGTACCTTAATATCTTGAAACTCAGGCCCAGCGTCACGCAATGCACCTGTAAGAGCCCTCATTGCTGGCACAAGACCAGTAATGTGAGCAGGATCATTAAGAAGCACCACTTCGTTGCCTACAGATATGAATTTGATCTTTGTTTGTGGATGGATAGGTCTAATATTGGTGTTCACCCATGCCGTCGCCGCCCCTACGTTGTTCAAATTGGGGATCTCCCCGTTTGGGATCGTGACCGTCATCGTGATATTGGTGTTGGCAAAGGCTCGCAGAACGGTAGGGTTGGTGTCGAAGATCTTTACGCTGTCGAAAATAGTTTTCGTTTTGATGAAGTTGGCAACATCCGCGGGTGAAGGGAGGTTATCTGCAACCATGCCGTAGTTAACTCCAATGGCGGCGGTGGGGCAGAAGAGGTAGAAGAAGGCGGTGGTGAGGAGGAAAAAGAGGAGGAGTTGAGAATTAAGAAAAATGGCGGTGAGTGATTTCATGGTTGCAAATTTATTTGTTTTTATTTGACCCTTGATTTTGTTTTGGTGTTATAGTTAATGTATATATAGAGAAGATGATTCAACCATGGATAGTAATTTAGGATGACATATGGACAACAATGAGAAATCACAGCTTCAGCCATTAAAGCACCATAGCATTTGACCTTTCAAAATGTTCCAAATTAGATTTTCAAATTATTTACAACTTTTCTTTTTTTAACCCCTATTATTTGGCTATTGATTTTTTTGTTAAAAACAATCACCATTAATTAAATTCTATCCATTTTACTTAACTTTCTTATTTTTATCACACCTCTCATAATTAAATAAAAAATGACCATTGAATTTAACTAATGTCATCACTATTATTATATATATGAAGACGTGAAATCCAATATACTTTGAATATTCAATATCCTCTGAGTTCTTATAACACTTGTGTTCGTGTTTGGAACGATATCTATGTATCCCATAACGTTGATCTATGATGATGTGATTGTTGGATGTTATTACGGTACACTACTTTTTTTAAAATGGTTGTGGCGATATTTGATGTTATATTTTCGATCATTATGATCTCAAGTTTTCATGTTCAATATTTATATTTAAATTTCAATAAAATTGTCAAAAAAGAATACACCATTGATAATTTTAGTATCCTCTATATCAGAATATTGATTGTAAACTACATTACATATATCTATACAAAAAAGTAAATCAATTTTAAATTTTATAAACTTTTAGGATCGTTAAATGATTAGAAATGAATTTACGAAATCATTTAGTATCGATAATTTTATATATTTTATGTAATGTATCCATATGTTCCAATAATTATAGTCCAATAAGATGAATGAGGATTAAGAAGTTAATTAAAGACCAATGTATTTCACTCTTTTGGTCCAATCCAATTCTACGGCTACATCATCAATGCACAAGGCATAAAACAAGCTTCCCTTTTCCAGAAAAGTTAATTAATGATTAAGTAATATAAAGTGTGAACTTGGAATGTGTGGGCGTGCCGGAGTGGTTATCGGGCATGACTAGAAATAATGTGGGCTCTGCCCGCGCAGGTTCGAATCCTGTTGTCCGCGTTGAAATTTCAATTCCTGAAACCCTCAGGTGGGATCATTATTATCAGTATCACCTTACATGCTCCTGCTTCTACAACCAGATTCCACAAGATATTGACCTGGTAGCATGTCTGTATCAAAGTGCCAGCGTAGCTGTTTATTTCTTTATGGAGAGAATAGGGATTCTGAAGGAATTTTACCATTGAAACCGTTACTATGAAGGTCTAAATATTTCAAGTTGTTAATATTTCAAGGATAAAACAATGACAATTCTCTCTTGATAAAAAAGATAAAATAATTTTCAAGAAAACTCTTTAATTTCTCTAGCATTGGGAGAAATCAAGAATGATTTGAGATGATTTTGAAGCTGAATGAGTTGTGGTATTTATAGTTTAAGTTTAAAGACTAATATTATAAATACTCTAAAATACATGAATTAAATAAATAATTTTCCCATGCTAATTTTTCAACCAAATTGCAATAGTAAATTTTGAATTTTATTGTTATCAAATTCGATGTGTTAATACAACGAAAATTTGCCATTTTTTTTACTTTCAACAAGAAAGTGGTCCACGCATCCCTCCTTTTCTACTGGGGAAGGAGAAAAAGAAAATTCATCTAGCTTAGTTATTGGATAATGTGACTTTCTTTATGGGATTGTTCAAAAAAAAAAAAAAACACGTCGATGACCTCCTTTTCTACTGGGGAAGGAGAAAAAGAAAATTCATCTGGCTTAGTTATTGGGCAATATGACTTTCTTTATGGGATTGTTCCAAAAAAATAGTCGAGGAATCCATAGTCATTCGTAGATGTGAACATCTGGTCCAGTCGAGTTAAAAAATTTTGAGTTATTCGAATTGATAAATCTTATTTCATAACTCAAATTGTATTTGAATTTTTTTTTATTTAAGTCGAGTTTATAAAATTCGACTTGAGTAGAGTTAAATTGTTCTAGTTTTTATTTGAATTTAAGTTTAAATATCTATAATATTATTGTTCAATTTGATTCCAATTTAAATAATTTTTTAATCATATAATATATATATATATATATATTCATATTTTTTAATATGTGATATCATTTTTTAATATATATATATATATATATATATATATATATATATATATATTCATAATTCTCGTTATATGCTTTCCCTTGGTTGTGGTGTATGCGTTTGTCTCACTTTTTTATGCTCAATGTGTTTTCTTGGTTAGTCTAGATGATTTTCTATCCGGTTGGATTGAGGTTTGTGGTAGGGTGGGAGATGGGATGTTAATGTATCGAAAATTTGTGCATGTATTTCTCACCACTCTATGGTATACTCTTTTTTCTCTTTTAAGTATAGGAAGATTTTTTAATGAAATCATGATGGTGGTGTATTTTGTATTTTTCTTTAATACAAAGTATCATCTTTAAAAAAAAAAACTTAAATCGATCTATTGATTATTAAAAATTTTGGTTTATTTTAATTTTATTTTATAACTCGATTTAAATTTGAATTTTTTTTGAATCGAATCCATTGAAATTGAGTTTTTTTTAGTCAAATCGAAAAGTTTGATTTTTACTATCTTAATTATCGGGGATTATTACTTCCTTTTTACGACTTTTCCATCACGCTGGCAAGTATGACTCGGTTAAGGAAAAAGACAACGACCATAAAACCCAACCCCCAGTAGACTCATCTAACTAAAGAAGGCCAATGGCAAAAAGTAGCCACATCACTCTCAAAGTCAGAAAACTTGAACCAATCAGAGTTCCAAAACTACTTATATTGCACTCGAGTTCTTTTTCATGAACCAAGCACTCTCAAATTAAGAAATTGTTTCAGTTTAATGGAGGTATCAAAAAAGCATTTTGAAGCATCCAGTTCTTTTTTACTTGTTGAAGTTATGATTCTTCTCTCATACTTTAACTTGCAGGGTCTTGACTCGCTTGGCTTAACAACAACAGCAACCACTGTAGTTAGAGGAAATGACACCGACCAACAAGCTTTACTCCAGTTTAAAGCCAAGATAACGGGCGATCAGCTCGGAGCCATGGAGTCTTGGAACAATTCCATCCATTTTTGCCAATGGCATGGTGTTACTTGCGGCCGGAAGCATCAGAGAGTAACCAAGTTGGTACTGCAATACCAGAAACTCTCGGGATCTTTATCACCTTACATTGGAAATTTGAGCTTTCTCAAGGAGTTGAATCTTTCAAACAACAACTTATACAACCGGATTCCTCGAGAAATCGGACGTTTAAGAAGATTGAAAACTTTAGAGCTGTCCAATAACTCAATCAGTGGTGAAATTCCTTCCACTTTACCTGCTTGTACTATGCTTACAGTAGTTAACATAGAAGACAACCAGCTAACGGGAGAAATACCTACTTCTTTGGGGCTCTTGTCAAACTTGAAAGTCTTGAGGTTTTACAACAACAGTTTGAGAGGGAGTATCCCACCTTCGTTGGGGAACTTGTCGTCTCTAGAGAACCTTGCTTTGATGCTGAATGGACTAACTGGGATTATATCAGAAGCTCTTGGGCGTCTCACAAATCTTTCATATTTCTCCATAACCGGAAATGCAATTTCTGGTATTGTTCCTGTTGCAATGTTCAATCTCTCCAATATTAGAGTCTTTGATGTTGGTGAAGACAAGATTCAAGGTACTCTCCATTCTGACCTTGAAATCACTATGACATATGTTGACTTCTTTTCCATTGAGGGGAACCAATTCTCTGGACAAATCCCAATTTCAGTATCCAATGCCTCAAACCTGTATGCACTTCAATTTGGGGATAATAGACTCAGTGGTAACGTGCCTTCATTAGAAAAGTTGGATAAATTGGTTAACCTTGACATAGGCAAAAACCATTTGGGACATGGGAGAAAAGGTGACTTGAACTTTGTCTGCACTTTAGTCAATAATACCAAACTAGAATTTCTTTATATAGGCTTAAATAATTTTGGAGGCGTATTACCTCACGGCAGAAATAAAGTCACTGCCCACAATTTCCCAGGTAGCTTTGAAAAAACCAGAAGTAAAGCCATCTGGATCCGGGGTTTTGTCCTTCCCTTGCCTAAATAAAGCCTCTTTAATCTCCAAATTACTAACCTCTTTAGTGAGAAAAGAAACATCTCCATCAGGCAGAGAATACCTTAGTAAATCTTTCAAACTCTCAATAGGGGAACCCTTAACCAAAGGGTCAGTGGAGCCAATAAGATTAGTGAAGAACTTCACTAACTCTACAGCCATACCATCAAAGGTATCATATCTCTGTCCATCCTCACCCATAACTAATCTGATTGTATTCTTTTTCTGATTTACTTGTGTCCTCTGATGAAAGAATCTGGTGTTTAAATCACCTTCCAAACTTCTTTCTTGCTGCCTGCTTTTAATGCTACAACTTTAGTATTGGCTCCAAAGTCCTCAAATGCTTTCTTTGCAAAAGATTTTAGACCGATATCTTGTTGTTCTGTAGTCTATAAAACTATAACTAGAATCCTTGTGGATAGACTTGTTCCCTACTTTCCTGAAATGATTTCCCAGAATCAGACAACTTTTGTTAAGGGCATGAATATAGTGGATAACACTTTGTTGGCTCAAGAAGTGGTTAGAGGATATTCTAGGAAAAGTCGTTCTCCTTGGTGTGGTATTAAAATAGACCTCCAAAAGGCTTTTGACTCTGTTAATTGGGTTTTTTTGCTGAACATTCTTAGAGCAATGGGTCTTCCTGAAATGTTTTGTAATTGGATCAATGGTTGCATTACTACTCCTATGTATTATGTTTCTTTGAATGGCAGCCTGGTGGGGTTCTTTAAGGGTGCAAGGGGGATTAGGCAGGGTGACCCATTGTCACCCTATCTTTTTGTTATAGTGATGAATGTGTTGTCTTCTCTCTTGAATACTGCTGCTATGAAGGGTGTTTTTAAGTATCATCCCAAATGCAAACGAATCCAACTAGCCTATCTCTGTTTTGCGGATGATCTATTGGTCTTTTGTCATGGTTCCCTTGAATCTGTGCTTGGAGTCCAAAGTACTTTGGAAATGTTTTATGAACTTTCAGGGCTTAAGTTGAATGTCTTGAAAACTGAATTCTTTGCTTGTGGCTTGAGTCAAAACACCCTTGATCAGATCCGGTTAGCTATTGGCTTTAGAGTGGCTCAGCTTCCAGTTTGGTATCTTGGGGTTCCCCTAGTCACTCGAAAGCTCACTGGTAAGGACTGCACTGCTCTACTTGAAAGAATTAAGGACAAGTTGAGCCAATGGTCCAGCAAAAAACTCAGTTTTGGAGGGAGATTGCAGCTTGTTAAGTCGGTCCTCTTCAGTATTTTTAATTTTTGGTGTAGGCAGCTTATCATACCTAAAGGGGTCATTAGGGATGTTGAGAGGCTTTGTATGCAGTTTTTTTGGAAGGGTTGTGATGCCTCGGCTAGAGGAGCCCGTGTAGGCTGGAACTAAATTTGCTCCCTTAAGTCTGAGGGTGGTTTGGGACTTAGGGATCTTTCTCTTTGGAGCAAATCTTGTTGTCTGTTGCTTATAAGAAATATCTTAGCGGAGAAAGGCTCATTGTGGATCGCTTGGGTGAAAGCTTATTGTTTCCAATCTGCGAGTTACTGGGAAGCAGTCTGTAAACCCCACTATAGCTGGATTTTGGCTAAACTTTTGAGGCTGCGAGATCTTGCGAGTAACCTGTTTCCTCATGGTACTAATTTGCGCCTTATTAAAGGCAAATGGGTATGGGACTGTATCAGAGTTAGAAGGGAGAAGGTGAGTTGGCATAAGCTTATATGGTTCCCGTCCCATATTCCCAAATTCTCCTTAATCTCGTGGATGGCCATCCTCGATCGGCTGCCAACTAAGGACATGCTTTCCCGTTTTGGTTTAGCTGTTGATGCTGCTTGTTTGGTATGTGGTTCGGACTCTGAATCAAGGGATCACTTATTTACTGCTTGTCCTTTTGCTATGGATGTTTGGAACACTGTTCTGAGCCTTTGTGGGACTCGTTGTGCTGCTCTTTCCTGGGATCAACGCCTTAGTTGGATGGTTGGAAACCTGAAGGGAAAAACTTTTCGAGTACGGATTCTAAAACTTGCTTGGACTGGTTTTTTGTATTATATTTGGGAAGAGCGTAACTATAGGCATTTTAGAGGCATCTCAAGCTCAAGTGAGGTAATTGTAAAAAGAATTAAGGAGGCAGTGAAAGCAAAATTGTATAGCCTTAGTTTACATAGAGTAGATGATGGTAATAGATTCTTGTACATAAACTGGGAACTGTTTTAGTTTGTGACAGTTCATTTTGTAGAAGCTAAGCTGCGGTTTTTTTCTTTTTGGATGAAATATAATTTACTTATCCAAAAAAAAATTTGGAGGCGTATTTCCAGGATGCATTAAGGATTTTTCTAGCACCCTTTTACATATAGCAGCTCAACAAAAGAAAATAACGGGAAGAATCCCGGATAGGATTGGAAATCTCACCAATTTGGAGTTGCTATCATTATCAGAAAATCAACTATCAGGTCCCATTCCCTTTGATATTGGGAAACTTCAAAAGCTACAATTATTTTATGCTGGTAGGAATTCTCTCAATCAGACTATTCCTCATTCTATTGGAAATTTAACAAAATTAACTAAACTTGATTTAGGTATCAACACCCTTCAGGGAAGCATTCCTTCAAGTCTAGGCAATTGTCAAGATTTACTTCTAATAGATCTTTCAGATAACAATCTTACTGGCCCAATACCCCGAGAAATACTTAGGCTTCGATCCTTATCCATTTGGCTAGATTTATCATCAAACTATTTGACCGGTGAACTTCCTGATGAAGTAGAAAATTTGAAAAATCTTGGTGAACTCTATGTTTCTCAAAATAGGTTATCAGGTTTGCTTCCAAACAACCTTGGTAGTTGCGTAAGTCTTGAGAAGCTGTTACTGGATGGCAATTTGTTTGATGGGCCTATTCCTTCATCTTGGAGTTCACTAACAGGTCTTGTGGAATTGGACTTATCTGATAATAATCTTTCGGGAGAGATTCCAAAATTTCTTGTGAGATTTGAGGTATTACAATATTTAAATCTTTCTTTCAATGATTTTGAGGGACTGATACCAAGTGAAGGAGTCTTTAAGAATGCAAGTTCAACATTTGTTGAGGGAAACTATAAGCTTTGTGGAGGCATCCTTGAATTGCACTTGTCAAGGTGTAACCCGAAAACATCATCAAACACTTGCCTAAAATTAAAAATTGCAGTTTTTGTTGCGATTTTAGGTGTGGCTTTGGTGTTCACTTGTCTCCTCATCTTGTGGTTTAGAAAGAATAAAGAGCGAAAGCCAACAGAAACTTGTGCAGAAAATTCGCTTTTACAGTTATCATACCAAAGCATCCTAAGGGCCACAGATGGATTCGCCATGCAAAATTTAGTTGGTTCAGGAAGTTTCGGCTCTGTATACAAAGGAATTCTTGAAGAGAGTGGAGCAACTATTGCCGTAAAGGTGTTTAATCTTCTGAATCGTGGAGCATCAAGAAGTTTCTTGGCTGAATGTGAGGCCTTGAAGAACATTCGACATCAGAATATTGTCAATGTATTAACAACCATTTCAGGTGTCGATTATAAAGGCGATGATTTTAAAGCTTTGGTTTACGAGTTCATGGCAAATGAAAGCTTAGAGGATTGGTTGCATCCACATATCAGCATGAACGAACCAGAGACGACTAGAAGCCTAAACTTCTTCCAAAGAGTTAATGTGGTCGTAGATGTTGCTCATGCACTCGAATATCTGCACCATCGTTGTGAAACATCAATACTTCATTGTGACCTCAAGCCAAGCAATATTCTACTCGATGATGAAATGATTGGCCACATAAGTGACTTCGGCTTAGCAAAAATCCGTTTTGCAGACAGGTTTAACCATTTTGTTAATCATTCAAGCTTGCTTGGATTAAGAGGAACTATTGGTTATGCTCCACCAGGTAATTACATTGTATTTTTCTCTTTCATTTTTATAATAATTATTTATAGCGTTTTTCCTACAATTATTTGTATATATAATTTGCGATGAACTAATTGTAGAATATGGCATGGGAATCGAATTATCAACGAAAGGTGATGTGTATAGCTATGGCATCCTCCTCCTGGAGATATTTACAGGAAAAAGGCCAACTGATGAAAGGTTCAAAGAAGGTTTAAGTCTTCACATCTTTGTTAAGGCAGCTTTGCCCGATCGAGTGGTTGAGATTATAGATCCCATTTTACTTCAAGAGTGTGTTAGAGAAGGACAATTCACAGACATCACCCACAATGCAAACAACATGGGAAATGACAGCCACCTTCATTGCTTGAATTCAATATTCGAAATAGGACTAACTTGTTCCGCTGAATCACCGAGTGAGCGGATGGACATGAATGATGTTGTTATCAAACTTTCTTCTATTCAAGACAAGCTTCTCCGTCCAACTCGATTACATCGTGGGAATCAAACTCCATACATTACTCAATCAGCATGTAATAATGTCTTCTTATATTAGCAAAATATTTAATTATATCACCACTTGAGGCACATTTCAATCATGATATGATGTGTTAAGATAATTTTTTTTCTCAAGTTGCAGGTATCTAAGGTGTGGTACGGATGATCTTGGGAGGCTTAGTCAGCCAAAATGCTTGCTTTTCTCTTCTGTTCACATTCTGCTTTGAGAAAAAGATATTGAATATGAGGTTTTCGAGTGTAATTCGGGTTTATATTTTGGCCTTGTATTTGCATCATAAGCTACTGGATTAATGTCATCAGATCAGAGTTTAAATAACAATTATATTTTAGTTAAAATTTAGGGGTCAAATTAGAATTTAATTATTTTTGTTAACTTATCATATCATCAATGCAACAGAAGTTGGTGTTCAAGTGATCATTTTGTAATTAATCAACAACATAAGTGACCATAATATATCTTATCAAAATTAAGTGATCAAAGTAGAATAAAACTGAAACAAAAGTGACATTTCTGTAATTAACCCTTTATTATAAATAATATTTTTAATTTTTGTTCATTTTTTTAATTGCTTGCAGACTGTCGTTGGCCTGATTTAATTAATTAAAGATAACTTCTAAGCAAAAACAATTAAGGACTACCATAAAAAATTACTTGGATTTCCCTTCACCTTCTTGTCTTTCTCTTTATTCTGGATATAGATTAAAAAGAATTTATTTTTTTATTTATTAAAATTATTATCATAAAACATAATCCATATGTGTAATCATATTTAAATTAGTTAATAAAAAAATTCTTAGAATGGTATGGTGATTAAAGGAATTTTGTTCTTTTTTTATACCCAAATTCGAGTAATATAGTCTGTGTGTACGTAAGTTCAGTTCTAAATATTTTTTTTAAAAATAGTTTATACAATAAACTTAAAGTTTAAATTATATTTTAATTGTTAATCTATATTAATTAAAATTTATATTTAGGGACAATTACATAAAAGATCACTAAATTTTAAGTAAGTTTTGCTTTTTATCACTGACGTTTCAAAAGTTATAAAATAGTCACTAACATTTTTTTCCTAACAAAACGGTCACTCAATTGTCAAAGTTCAATAACTATATTATAACAAAAGTTATAATATAGTCTGTGTGTACGTAAGTTCAGTTCTAGATATTTTTTTTAAAAATAGTTTATACAATAAACAAAAAGTTTAAATTATATTTTAATTGTTAATCTATATTAATCAAAATTTATATTTAGGGTCAATTACATAAAAGATCACTAAATTTTAAGTAAGTTTTGCTTTTTATCACTGACGTTTCAAAAGTTATAATATAGTCACTAATATTTTTTTCCTAACAAAACGGTCACTCAATTGTCAAAGTTCAATAACTATGTGATGAAAGGCTGATGTAGGGATGGCAACTCAACCCGAATCCGACGGGTTCCGACCCGACCCGACCCGATCGGGTCGGATTTTTTTTTAAAAAAATTTGGGTTCGGGTTGGGTCGGGTTTAGGGTAAAAAAATCCGACCCGACCCGAAATATATATATAATTTTATCTTATATATTTAGGGATAATTACAATAATATCCCTCCATATATATTTTTTTCAATTAAGTCACTGTTTTCATTGAATGTCCCTCCAATTATAGGATTGTATTTTATTGAGTCTTAGACTATTAAAATTTATAAAATAATCTACCAACTATGGGGCACAACTTTGTTGAGTACATCGATTATTAAAAGTTACAAAATGATTACTTTATTATTCATATGTTCTAAACTCGTACTTTTCCGTAAAAAAATTATGATCATTTAAGTTGGACGTTAACGGTCGCCTCCTCCTCATCCTCCACTCTCCGACCCAAACCCTTTCATTGCCTTCAAGATTCCGACAGACTAGAAAATTAAATAAGATAAATAACGTGTTAAAGTGGTTAACGAGCATGACTAAAATTTTTAGCGACTCCTTTGTTTGTTTTTAACCAAGTTATTTCTTAATTAGTAGATCTACTTATCTGAAAATATTGCTTATTCACCATATTATACATGCTAATCATAGCCTCATTTTTCCAGTTTATTTTAGAAAGGTAGTTGAAAAAGCACTAAACAATTTTATTAATTATGTAACAAAAATAACGTTCTAGTGACCATTTCGTGTTTAATCAATACTGTAAATGATCATAATATAATTAATAGTCTTGCCCGTCTAGCTTAGTTGGTAGAACACAAGGCTCTTAACCTTGTGGTCGTGGGATTTAGTCCCACTGAGGGCAATTTATAACGAAAGTCTTCCACGGAAGCTGTCCCCTTACCCCCATTACATATGAGAATAGGGTCAGCTAATTATATCATAATATAACTAATGAAAGTTGAGTGATTATTAACATGTGAAGGGCATGTCTTTTTATGTCTAGAGTTGCACAGAATAATCTCTCAAATATTCTTCCAGAATTTCTTAGTCACGAATCGAATAATCTAACCTTTTTGGGAATTAGATTGACCTGCATGGACAATCATTAAAGTCAAACAGATTATGAACATGCAATTTAAGTAAGTAAAACAAAGGTGTAATTGAAATAAAACTTGACATTAAATAAATATTAAAATTTCCATAAAGCGCAATTCCAACCTTAGGGAATTTAGTTCATGAGTAACCTGAATTTCACAAAGCAAGTAGATTGTCATTAACTCAAATATAGTAAAAATATAGATTTTTTTTTAAAAAAAACTAAATTATATCTAAGTTAAATTAAAATTAAAATATAGTTACACTTCCCCTAAAATCAATCCGCGCATCGCGTTGAAATATTCCTCGCTTTTGTTGACCCGTATTCTCTATATACACACACAAAATTACAACCCCAAAACAATATCAAGCAATATAAAATTGCAATAAAATAAAATAATAAATTTGGATTCATGAAGTCATAGAGCAGCGTCTTGTAATTCATAGGGGAAAAGGCGATCCATTCCAAGGTGTAAATAGTATGGGAAAAACCAAGTTCATTGTGCCGAAAGACGGAGTCGGCGATGCCACATTGCAGAAAAACCTCGATTGGGCAAGCGGTCAAGGCATCGGTTGTGATCCGATTCAATCCTATGTCGTTTGTGCCGAACCGGCCACCGTTAGGTATCCTGCAACGTTCGCCGTGAGTCATTACCATAGGAGGAAAGGAGGCATAGAGAACACCTGCGATTTTAGAAGCACTGCTCAGACCACCACCAAGGATCCAAGTAAGCTAAAGATAAATTTGATTTTTTTTATAATCTAGTCTTTATCCTTTCAATTTAAAATGATTTAATTTATAATATCATTAGTGAATTCAAATATATTTTTACAAGAGATATTTTTAACCGAAATAGTTAACAATATTAATCATTCGAACTGACTAAAGGGTATAATGAAAGTAGAAGAATAAAATTATAGTAAATTAAAGTATAATGATCAAATCTTAGATGTAAATATAGTATAGGGACCAAAACCATAATTTAAAAAATCAGTTTTTAAGATTTAGGGGTTAAATTTTAATAATCTATTTAAACTAATAAATCTCGTCATTTTTTTCTTTATCTAATTGCGTTTATTTTCTATTCAGGTCATGGAAAATGCAAATATGTTTGAAGAATTGGAGATGAGGAAAGATTAGCTACGAGTAAAGGTTTTACTTTGCTCCAAAAAACAAACGCTAAAGAATATCATTTTTGTCTAAAAAAAATATTAGAAAAAACCTTAAAAATATTGATTTTTTTTTTCTAAAAAAAGTTTTATTACTAAATAAATATATCCTTATCATGCCATGTAATTCTATTTATAATTTGATTAAATGATTTTTTTTGAAATTCTGTTATTAATCTCCGTACAGTGAATAAGTTGTAGATTTAATTTCGTCACTCTAATTTGATTACTATATTTAATTCTTTAATTTTTTTTCAGGTTTTGATCTTAATCTATATTGGAGCTATTCAATTTATTAAGTTAAATTTTAGCGAGAAAGAATACTCACACTTAAATTTTAGGGATGAGGCACTAGATCCCTTAACTAAGGTAAAGGATTCAAATCATGACGATTATGAACAACTAGTTGGTCTATTGGGGTACGACATTAAATTTCTTAAGCAATGTTAGAAGTTTAAATCCTAACGATTGTGAATTGAACAAATTGAGTTAAGAGAGTCTCTCTTACCTCTACAATGATTTGTCAATCAGATCCTTTCGTCTTATAGAGTTCAAACTCTCTAATTAAGTTTAAAACTTTCATTCATTTAATCCTTTCATCTCCTTCAAGAAATCCTAACCTTCAAAGATTGACTTCATTATCGCAATTTTAATAAAGATTTCAGGTGATATTAGAGTGAATAATATAGCTCTTGTCTTTTTTTTTTAATTTCATCTTTTTATGATTCTTGATTTGTGTTCTAGTCAAGTTGATAGATAATGGAAGAATTTTATAATTTTTCTCGACAATTTTTTAGAGATAATTTATCTTTACATGAGCCGTCATATCTGTTGTCTAAACATGAAAATCGTAATATTAAATTACAGTCGCGATGCAGTGTAACGGTCGTATCATAGAACTTTTTGAGATCATCGTGATATCGCAAATCACATCTACAATATAAAATTTGAATTATTTAAAAAAAATAAATTACGATGTAATATATGTAACAACTGTAACTGCTGAAGCAAACTTCAATAACTTGTTTAACATCGCTTAAAGATTAAAGAAATAGTTGGCAGAATCAAGCTTAAGAGGTCACTTTAGGAAAGGACATTGGATATGATCACCAATATGAACAAAAAAAAAAAGCTTCAACATTGTCACCTTGAAGAACACTTACAATATAGAGCTCACCACAAGCAAGCTCTGCAACAGTTTCTAGTTCAATGAGGTTAATTAGGGGTGGATCAAAAGGAGCGTGTGGGACCTCGTCCTCTTAAAAATTTAAAATTATCATATATTTTAGATTATTATATATATATATTATATTAAAAATCTGTTTTCATCTCTTGAAATTTTATAAACTCGTCCCCTCTTAA